CCAAGCCCTTTTTTATTTTGAGACAGGGTCGTCTTAAGTCATTGTATTGCCCAGGCTGGGGTCAAACTTTCAGTCTTCCTGCCTCTGGCTTCCAGAGTGCTGGTATTACAGGTATTCACCACCATGCCAGGCATATCACACTTATTCTTTACTAATAGTTTATAGTCTAGAAATATTTTTAACTTTTCATGATTTTATTCATCTCTTCCTTTGTCTCTGAGGGCAGGGTGGTGATAGATACAGTATCCAGCAAAGGAAATAGCTTTTACTTGAGATGGTATGTATCAAACCAAAATGGGATTTTTCTTTAAAATTTTTTTGAATAACAAAAATACCATTTTGTTGTTTTGCAGTGGTGGGGATTGAATTGTACTTGTTTTTAGGACATTTGAAAAAATATAAAAGTGTAAAGAAATCTATAAGAATTTTCCATAATCACTTCTGCCTAGGGATAATCAGCATTAAAGGTTTTTGCATTTAATTTGAAGATTTTATTTTGCAGACTAATAATTTTGGAGTCTAGGTATATTAGTCACCAAATACTAAAAGTAATTTGAGGGAAATATGTTTGAGATTTTTGTTTTTGTTTTTGCGATATTAGGGATTGAACCCCAAGGTCTCTAAAACATTCAAGGCAAGTGCTCTACCACTGAGTTATTTATCTCCATCCTTTTTAAAGACAGGATGTCACTAAGTTGCCCAGCTTGTCTTGAACTTGTGATCCTCCAGCCTCAGCATCCTGAATAGCTGGGATACAGGTGTGCACAATCATACCTGGCTTGTTTTAGAATTTTTGTGTGTGTGTATGTGTGTGTGTACAGTTGTGATGTGGTGCGTTGATGAAAGCGCAACTGAAAACTGTGATGCTTCAGCTTGGGGTACGTACAAGAGTATGTAAGTGCCATGGAGGTCCATGGGGATTTTCATTGCTTTCTCTGACATGGATTGGGTTGTTGGGACATTATTACTAGTCATTTGTTAGCTAGGTGAGTAGTATTCATGCTTTGACCCTTGAACCAAACAAATACCATTACAGTATAGCTACATTGGCATGGCTGCAGAAGTGGTGGGGTGTTGTTGTTGTTGTTGTTGTTGTTGTTTGTTAAACTGTTTTTGGCTTAATTCTGAATTTTGGATGACATTGTTAACAACTTCTGGATAAATTATAACCCTCATGTCCTTACTTGGGCATCCATCCCATTTAATAACTTGCCTTAGAAAACAGGGTCTTACTATCTAGTATCCATCTTTTAAAATCCATTTTTAGCTGAGTGGGGGTGGGGGGGAGCATGTGCCTGTAATCTGTAATCCCAGCACTTGGGAGGCTGAGGCAGGAAGATTTCCAGGAGTCCAAGGCCCGCCTAGATTATATAGCAAGACCCTGCCTCAAAGAAAAAATCATTTTTAAATTGGATGTGATTGTGCACACCTTTAATCCCTGTAGTCTGGGAGCCTGTGGCTGAAAAATTGTGCATGTGAGCCCAGCCTGTATCACCAGTATCCTTCCTGTGTTACTTTTTTCTTGCTGAGGTAAAATACCTGACACCCAAAGTTGCAGGGGAAGAGTTTACTTGGCTTACTGTTCATACAGGTTTCAGCCCATAGTCAGCTGGCTCTAAGACAGGGATGGCAAACAGGCCTCGAAGAGGAAAAACATGGCACCCACATGGTACCAAAGGCAATAAGAGATTTTAGCAGCACTTTGCTGCCCATTTTATTCAGACTACCAGGATTAGGGTGGTGCCAAACTAATCACTCACATGTAGTGGTTTAGTAATCACACGACTTTAACCTCAACATCACACATTCCAGATTCAACTTCCTCTGAAAAAAAGTCCCACCTCATCTACATGAGGCTTTGGGGGTGGGGGCCATCTAAACACAAACAGTAACACTCCTCCCCAAAAAACCCAAAGCAAAAACATTTTATTCACTTATTTCGCAGTACTGGGAAATGAACCCAGGGCTTTTGCAAAAATTGCATTTTATTTATTTTTTGCTTTTTTGAGACAGGGTCTTGGCTTTTAGTGCAGGCTGGCCTTGAACTTGAAGTGATGTTGCTGCCACAGCCTCCCGAGTGCTGGAATTACTGGTGTGCACCCGGCAAAGATTCCATTTTAAAAACATGTTTTCAAGAAACAAGCTGAATTATGTACATGTACCAACTCCCCAGAATGATTATAAAGTGCATGTACTGCCAAATATGTACTAATACAAATTTTTTTTTTTGGTACCAGGGATTTGAACTCGACCTTGTGCTTTCGAGGCAGGCGCCAGAGACACTGAGCTAAATCCCCGGCCCTAATGGATATTATTTCCTTAATGTTATGGACTTTGAAAGATCATTTAGGATGGGATGCATTCTTTTTTTGTTTTGGTACTGGGATCAAACTCGGGTCCTTGGGCTTGCAGAGCAGGTGGTGGAACCACTGAGCTAAATCCCCAGCTGCAATTAAAAAAAAATAATAACGTTCTCACATTTTGTTTTGAATTGGAAACTACCTTTTTCTTTTGGTTTATGTGCTACTTGTATAAAAATGTATACGAAGGCTGAGCTGGGGATTTAGCTCAGTGGTTCTGCCGCCTGCCCCACAAGCGCAAGGACCTGAGTTCAATCCCTGGTACCAAAAAAAAAAAATGTATACGAAGGCATCTACTAGTGGTGTTTACTATGTGCTAGGCACTGTTCTAGGTGCTATATATCTTATTAAGTCATTTTATCTTCATAATGTGGCTGTATTCCTCATTTTAGATTAAAAAAAACAAGTTAACTGCCATCCTCAGTATCTCCTCGCCACTAAATGTCAGAGCCTAGATTTGAACCAAGCAGTTTGGCTTCAGGATTACCTCATAACTGCATTGTAGCACCCAAAGATACTCCTTAAAACATTTTTTAAAAGTAGTTTATTTGTAGTATTACGGATTAAACCTAGGGCCTTGCATATAGTGGGTATTTACTCTGTCCTAAGCTACATCCCAACCCCTAAAACTGATCTAAATGTTTTTGCATTTATGTTATGCTCATGTTTTAGTAATTTGCTGGTTTATGTTATGAATGTTATTTCCATATCAGTACAGGCCTGACATCATTATAAATAGTTACACAGAATTCTATTATGTGTTAATACACTAAAAGGAAAACTTAAGGATGGTTTGGCCATATTCTTTATCTTTTTTTCCTCTCAGAGAATAGTGTTAAAATAAATGCAGATTGAAGATAATGCCCTTCCCCACCTTCATAATTGGAACCTCAGGCCTCTAAATGCTGAAGTCTGGTTGGTAGGGCTTCACATGTTACTACCATTATCTTTGAAATTTTCTTAGGCTTTAAAAGAGCACATCATGCTAACAAAGAAATTTGTCTTACAGCCAGAACATACCTTATTCTAATAACAGTGAAAGGAAAGCACACTTAGATATAGAAGCCAGGGGAGGCTGTCATGATTCCCAAGGTCACATGGGAAGTTAAGGAGTGGGTCATTTGTTGTTAATGGCCGTGATGGTAGACCAGGTATTAGGAGAACATGTGTAAGGGATAGAACATTGGGAGGGGGAAAAGTGGTGGAGGAGGTTAAGAAGTTAAGGATCTACAACAAGTCACCACTGTCACAAACAGTAATTCCAGGAAAGGTTAGGAATCACTGCCAAGTGTATCAGCAGGATCAGTTTCAGAAAGGAAGCTTGATGAACAGTAACAGTATTTGCTAAATATCCCTGCCCTTTGAGCCAGCAGTAGAGAGATGTGTGTATACTTGATCATTTAGAATGATCAGATTTACATAAAATAAGTAGCCCAGTAAAAGGAAAAATAATCAAAAGATACCTTGGAGAAATTGTAGGTTCTAATTCAAAAATAAATAGGGCTGGGGATTAGCTCAGGGGTAGAGCATGTTCAAGTCCCTGGTTTGACCCCCAGTTCCACATATGCACAAAAAGAGTAAAGAAATTAAAATTGACTTAAAAAATTTTATAGCTGGTCATGCTGGCCTGAGCACATGTAGTTCCAGCACTTAGGAGGCTAAGGCAGCAGGAGGCTAACTAAGGCCTAGGAGTTCAGGGCTAGCCCAGGCAGCACAGCAAGACCCTGTGTCCAAACAAAGATGGATAGTCTTAGGATGGTGTATTTCCAAAGAGTGTTTCTTTTGTATTTATAATTGGTAAGCTAAAGACCAGGCTCTTACATTTTCTTTTTTAAATAGATGACAAATGCGTGTTTGGTTTTTTTTGTACTGGGGATCTAACTTGGGTCCTTGTGCTTGCACAGCAGGCAGCGAAACCACTGAGCTAAATCCCCGGCCCAAATGCATGTTTGTTTTAAGGGTTAGTTCTGTCAGGAGCAGAGACTGGAACTAATGAGATCTGGAGCACTGACTGATGTGAACTTTGGACATAGGTTTACTTTCCTCTTGTTAGCGTGAGAATTCTCATTTTGAGAGCATTTATAACATGCTGAAGGATTATAAATAAAATTACATCTTTTGAAAACCCTTCATTTGTTCACTAAAAATATATCTAACCATAAATGCCAGTTTGAACACGTTGGTCCTAGAGCAATCTTGGAATTGTGCATTTAACTCTTCAAGTCACCCGTTTCTCTGCATTTCATTCGACCTATTCTGTAGTTCGTTGAGCTGGGATCTGGCACTTACCTGGGGCTGCTACAAATAATCATATAGTTTGTCATACAGCCATACCAGTATGTTAAACATTTCTCAGTTTTCTTGAGTGTTTGAAGTGGCTTGCAAAATGTAATTTTCTAGGCTTTTTTCTTTAAAGTAGTGAAATTCCTTTTTCTCATGAAGTCAAATGGGAGTCCCAGTGTATTAAGTAAATTTGTTTCTCCTGCTCCCTACCTTCTTTTTTAAACATATGAGGCATTTAGGCTTTGAAGAGTTTGCTAAATGATTTCTCCAAGAGTCACAGAGATAAATGTTGATACAACTGAGGATCTGGCCTGATAGTTTTCCTGGTGATTCTTCATTTGTTTGCTTTTCCAATAGTGAAAAGGAAGAAGATGATAATGAAAAAAGAGAAGATCCAGGAGATAACTGGGAAGAAGGTGGAGGTGGTGGAGGTATAGAAAAATCTTCAGGTCCTTGGAACAAAACAGCTCCGGTACAAGCGCCTCCTGCTCCAGTAATTGGTAATGTTACTGTTTCTGTCTCAGAAGACAGCTCACTAATACACAGTTGTACATGTGCTCTGCATTCAACTAAATGCATGCCCATGGTGTGGTTGGGAGCTCTGGAGAAACTTTCAGGATCTTAAATGGAAGAAATTTGGAGGTTAGACGTACTTTTGTTGTGTAAAAATATTACACAATTTTTGTTGGCTAAAAATATTTAATGTATTTGTGGGATTCAACCCAGGGCCTCACACATACTAGGCAAGTACTCTTAATCACTGAGCTACACCACCAGCCAAAATAAAGTTTTTGATAAGTGGAAATCATGTACGTGTCTATCTATGTATTACGAGGTAGGGGAGATAGGAAAAGTTGGGAAATTTTGTCCCCAAACTGTTAGGATAGTAGAACATGGGCTACTCAACGGCTGAATTTTTTCTTCTTTCTGTTTTACCTGCGTTTTCTAAGAAAACAAGGTTGAGAGCCTTAATCCATTGATGTGGAAGAGAATGAGATAAGGTTATCTAATTGCTTGTTTTTACTTTTCATTTATAATTTTAAACTACACAGGAATTTTGTTTACATAAGACATCTCATTTAGCTTGTCATCAGGTAAAGAAATGATTGTTCATGTTTACTCATAGGGAAACTGAGGGCAAAAATAGATGTATTTTGAAAGGTAGTTCCTAATGAGGGCTACCTCCCAGGCCAACAGCAGATGCCTTTCCCACTTCCAATAGCAATGCCTTAGAACTTATTTACAAAGAAAATTCAAATTGTACGTGGAAGAACGGTTAAAACAATACCTTAAAGAGTGTTGAAAACATTTCCTCAAACTACTTTTTCTTCTGTTGTCTCACCCAGAGACCCTTCCTGAATCAGGGATTGCTTGTTTTCATAATTATTAAATGATCTGGGGGGGCAAGAATGGTTTATTTAAACACAGAACATTTGAATGGTTTCTCTAAACTGTTGTAAAATGTTAGTTACAGAAACCCCAGAACCGGCAATGACTAGTGGTGTGTATCGGCCTCCTGGGGCCAGGCTAACCACAACACGGAAAATGCCACAAGGACCACCAGAAATATACAGTGATACACAGTTTCCATCCTTGCAGTCCACTGCCAAGCATGTAGAAAGCCGAAAGTAAGTACTGATTATTGCCTTTTGTTTGGGACTTTCCAGCCCTTGTCCAGGAGGTGGTGTGGGGGTATGCAGACCCACTTGAGGGAGATTACTCCTTATCTGCTGGCAGGCACCTGAACCAGGCTGGATCTTAGGTACCCAAGAGGGAAGGGTGGGGGGCAGCAAGGGGAAGAGAGCACTAAAGACACTATCTGCTATCAATCTCTCTTAAGTCCTTATGTTTTGTGGTGATGGCAAATTGCACAGCTAGAAATCTTTATAAGTACATTATTACTAGTTTATGTTTTTTATAGTATAGAACTTGGAAATGTAGAAGCAGTGTTTCGTTATATTCCCAGTAAACATGAATGAATAGGTGAAAATGTTGGCATTTATCAATCTAATATTAAAATAATCTTATTTCAGCAGGTACTTAAAATGAATGCTACCTGGAGTTAAATGACCACATGTGGTACATCTACATCTTACTTAGGGACATGAATTTTTAAAAGTAAATAAAATGGGAAGAAATATAAATGACATCAGATGGAAATTTTTTTGGGGTGGCTTTTAAAGTAAATCCCAGCCTTTCTGCCTCTGCCTCTTTGAGAGCACAGCTGGCTTGAAATTAAACCTCCACTTGGACTGGCTCCTCTACTCTGTGGTACAAAATATATACGGGACCTCTGAGAGGCCAATGACTGACCACGCTCATCTTTCTTTACCTGATCTGACCTGACCCACTCCCACAAAGCAGAAATGAGGAGAAGTCATTGTCATGAGAACTTTACTTGAATGAGAAAATCGTTACCTTTATGCATAAAGAAACATTATCAACTAATTGCTAAAAGTAAAACTGAGTCTTAGGAAGTCATTACACAGCTTCTTTCCAATTGTCTTCAAGTTGGTCCCAAAATAAGTTTCCAGTAAATACTCTTTAGTAGAAGATGAGACCATAGAGCTGCATTACAGTATTATGTGTCTTCTGTTCAATTGAAGCCTTACAATGGTTTAATACTGATTTTATGTACCATTTCTCCCTTCCTGTCTCTCCCCAAGATTCTTCTAAGGGGTGGCTTTTTTTTTTAAACTAAAGGAAGAGAATTTTACAAAAACTCTAGTGAAGAAATATTTACTGATTGCATTTCTTTTCCCTTAGAGATAAAGAAATGGAGAAGAGCTTTGAAGTAGTAAGACACAAAAATAGAGGTAGGGATGAGGTGTCAAAAAACCAGGTCCTTAAACTTCAGCTAGACAACCAGTATGCTGTGCTTGAAAACCAGAAATGCAGCCACACACAGTACAATTAAGGAGTGGTCTTTGCCAGCCCCTGTAAGGTAACTAGACCACAGCTAACCACCATGAACAGCCATTCATCATCTGATCTCTGTTGGATCTACAGCAACCGATGCAGACCATGCAAGTGACCTGCCTATTGCACTATGGAAGTTCAAAGTGTCACAACTGCTCTTTATGTATATTGGATTTAGGGGAATCTTCATTGTTACGTGTGTGAACTAGATGCAACACTTTTTTCATAATCACTCTGCAAATACAAAAACAAAACCTGCAGTCAGTGGTCATTTGGAAAATCTTTTTATGTTCAGATACTGAGCCTTTGTAAGGGTTGACTACCTCAGATTTGCTGCACTCTTTGGGGACTTCATGTGGATCACAACTTCTGGATAAGAGCGTTACAGCTATTAAAAGTGTCGATGTGAACCTTGAAACCAGCTCTACTGGATTCCTATCAGAAATCCTGCAGAAAGTCAGCCATTTGGGTTCTGATCTGCTGTAAAAGATGAAGATTTAAGTGACCTTAATTAACCTGTCCTGTGCCCTACCCTAAGGAGTACTCTGTAGTTAGCTGTGGCTATATTAGACTTTTGGAACATACCACTTTCAAAAGAACTGATGTGTTCAGATCATCTGAGTAGGGCTGTGATTTATAATTTCAATTTTTAGTTATAGTCTGAGGTAACTACAAATTAAATTCTCCCAAACTTGAGTCCACCAAGTGGGAAAGGGGGTGGGCTGGGGGAATAACTGGTTTCCTTTAGTAGTTTTTTTTTAAATTTAGATAGTGCTTTTCTGTGTTCCTCATTAAGGCCTTTTTTGCTTAGACTTGGAATAAGTTCTTTGACAGAGCACATAGCTTGGTTAAGTAACCTGAAATATGCATTCGAATTGTGATGTCTCATGAATTTGCCAATCACTAGAGTGGAACCAAATAGCCTTTGATGTAAAGAGCAGTGGATGCTGGAGGCTCTACTTCAGGTGCTGCTATAGCCTCCTCTAATCAAGTCTAAATTGTATAGTAAACTGCTGTGGAAAGAGTGTGGTTTCTGCTCAGGCTAAGGCAGTGGTGGTGAACCTATGGCATGTGCACCGCAGCAGGCTGTTTATCATTGAAAGCTCTAAAAGGTTTACCATCACTAGGCTAAGGGATTCACTGACATGTCCTACAGATCAAAGCCACACACACTGAACCTCACCTAGCACCTATTTCAGTTTCATGGATCTTGCGTGATCTTTGAGAATTCCATATATACTTGTGTCCAGATTTTTAAGGTATTGGCCATTCTGTAGATGCAGTGATTGTCCCAACTAGCTCTGTTACCAACCCTTGGTGTCTTCATAGTGTTCATTTGGAAAGGCAGGCTAAAGACACAGATGTAGCGCTTCTGCTTTTAATAACTGCAGATTACAGACTATCCAGTAGTATATAGTAGTTCTTACAAGGGACTTGAGGAAGCTTCTCCCGATTATTGACATTTTTTCCATCTAAGGAGATAGTCTAGCAGTTTTTCCCTAGTCTGGTATGTTTGGTTCAGTAGAAGTATTTCATAGTGGCAGTGACCACTTGATGCAGAGTCTGGGTTTCTCTATAATCCCTTCGCCAAATGCAGTAGTTGCAGACATGCTACTGACAAGAGTAAAGCAAGTGGGTAAGTAAAACTGTCCTGGTGTTGGGGGCATTTTCTTACAGGATTTCAGTTGTAACATACTGGTGCAGGAATCAGACTCCTAGGAGGGTCACACGCAGTGCCTCCTGAGAGCCCCTGCTGGCCACTGTGGGCAGTAATGTTGACATTAGTTGAAGTGGCAGGTATGCCTGCCTTCTGGTGTATTGGGTGAGTAGCTGAGCCAGGGAGAGGAGCTTGGATGATTAAGTGAAAAATAAGAGATTCTTGGTTAAGCTGAAGACTTCATTTGGGAACCAAAAACAAGTAATCTCTTGGACCTTGAGTCACATATTTTCCTTGAAAAGTATGGATTGTCCCAAAAAATTTTGTTGGGGGTTATATTGACAGGTGGAGTAAGATTAATAGAGGTTTTATTTAATGGCACACTGTACTGGAAATCTGAAGACCTACAGCAGATTTAAATTCCAGCTCTTGTTACAATTTTTTAAGATTGTGAAATTATAAAAATGCACATGAATCAAGTTTTAATATACTGTATGATGGGTGGATGAGGCAGTCCATTGTACCATTTCTTTCTTTGGATTCTCAGGCATGGTTTGGCAGTGCAAGAACTCTGTAACATTAACAAATTCAATAAAATAATAATACGGACTGTGGGTTGTTATAGTTTTTATTCCACACCCTTAAGCTATCTTTGGAAAAGGTGCGTTGATGTTATGCCTTCTTGCTGTGGGTGATGATAGTGCTGTCTCAGGAGTAGAGTGTACAGTGTTAAAATGACACATGGAATGAAAATGGCTGCAAACTGATGTATATTCCTCTTTGCAAAAGTACTAAAATGTACTTTTGTGTGTGGTATATTTTATTATTGTTACCTTAAAACGCAGCAAGGGTATATCACATCTTTATTCTGTAGACCAAAGTTTTGAGGCTCTGTCCCTTGAAACTTTTTCTCAAAAGCATCGCAGTTCTAAATTTCAGGATTTTGTTTGAGTTGTAGTCCCTAAACTTCTAAACCAGAGAAGGTATGTTGTGTACAATTTACATAGTTTTGAGAATATTCTCAAAGTATGCAAACCATTATGACTTAATTCCTAAATATTTTCTTTATTATAAAACAACAACAAAAAAATTCTGTCATTTCTCACCCTATCCACACATCTCAGCCTTTGGCAGCCAGTATTCTATTTCTGGCCTCTAGATTTTCTCTTCTGGACATATTAAAAAGGTTATACAGCTTATAACTGCTAAACTATACAATGACTTCTATGTTGGATTCTAAAGTCTCCTGGACCTTCTTATCCTCTTTGGGGGAGGCTATTACTAGTTCCTCCCAGTAGAAACACTTGGCTATATTCATAGCAATCCTGCTGACCTTATAATTTGGCCCATGTATTCTTAACTGTTTCTTTGGCTTTGTCTCCTCCGGACTCAAAGCTATACGGCTACCAAGGTGACTGCTTGGCACCTAGCAAAGGTCTTTAGATAGACCCTCTCTAGAGTAACTCCTGATCACAATGACCATCTTCGGCTGGAAGTAGCCAGACCGGTCTTTGCCCTTTGCTCCCTCACAGCAGTTAGGGGTACTTCTTCAGAGGGGGGGAATATTGCAGATAGGTAAGTTAATTAGATATCTTCTAGGCAGATAGGGCCTCCCTTAAGGCACCAGCCCTCCAGGAGCCAACAGCAAGGAGCCAACATGGAGAACAATTGAGGCGCATTCACCATTATAAAAAGGAAATGAAGTACTACCCCTAGAGATAGCAGTGATTGGTATTCTAAATGGGAAATTGCTTGTATGTGATTTGTCTTCCCATTTGTTGCCCAATCAATATTACCTGGGTGACTGTACTTGATAATATTGGTTGGCCATGGTTTTGTTCCCACCTCATGCCCACCTTGTAAATTTCTATTGGGTCTTTTGTAGTTTTGTCCCAGTTTCTACCCACCTCACCACATGGCTTTGCTGTATAAAACATCTTTGAAAAGTGGGGTGGGTGGGCAACCCACTTTCAGGTCCCCCTTCTGTCTTAGAAACTTTTTCAAGAAATTTTTCCTACTCTTAAGAAAAAAAATTACAGATGATCTTCTGAGACTGTCTTTCACTTGACATGTTTTGAGTCTTTTGTATGTTGTAGCATGTATCAGTGCTTTATTACTTGCTATTGGTGGTTTTGTTTTGGTGTGGTACTGGGGATTGAACCTAGGGCCTTCACACTGAGCTATGTTCCTGGCCCTTTAACAATTTTTGACAATATCCTGCTATGTTACTAAGTTGCCTAGGCTGAACTTGAATTTGCAGTCCTCCTGCCTCAGCCTCCCTGGAGTGCTGCACTTACATCTCCATCTTCAATGTGTTTTTGAAATGGCTCCATTTTGATACAACCTAATTTTTTAATTGCTTGTTTTATCTTTCATTTAGGTTTTGGATCTATCCTGAGTTAATTTTTAATGTGAGTGTGATTTCTAATGATCCAAATTCATCCTTTGGCAAATGGATAGCCAGTTGCTCTGCACCATTTCTTGAGTAGACTCCCATAACTGGCACACTAAACATTTTTTTCTTAATGTGAAATTGACTAGGGATGGGAACAGGTGGAGATTGTCAGCAAGGTGGGAATGTGGGATAGGAATTGAACGAGGTCATCAGGCTATAGGGGTGGTTGGCAAAGGAGTGAAGTGAGGGCAGAGTTTGTATTTGGGGAGTAGAACCAAATTAATGGGGGTATTCAGAGATCTGAAGGAGAATCATGAGCAGGTATCCACAGTGTACTGAGACTGCTGTTTGGTAATCGCTTTAGTTTATCAACCACTATAACCAGGCATGAATAAGGCCTGTGGAATACACACAAGTTATGAGTTGATTCTCCTGGGCTTGAGAAAAAAATATTATCAAAGATATCTTAAATAATTGGCTTGAGCATACATGTATGATGCAAAGAATTAGGTCTGCATAGGATATGCATTAAAGTAATACAGTTCATGCCTTTAGAAGTTGCATGTCAAGTGAGAACTAGAATTCTCAGTAAATGGATGTAACAAGATGGGTTAGGTATGTTAGCTTTACATTGTGACAAAGTACTTGGTATGAACAATTTTAAAGAGAGAGGTTTGTTTTTGCTCACGCGTTTGAGGTTTCAGTCCTTGATGGGCTGGGCTGGCTCCATTGATTTTGATTTTAACCCATGGACTGGCAGAAACTATGGTGGGTGGGGTGAAGGAAAGCTGCTTGTGGCAGGCAGGAAGCAGGGTGAATTTCCACAAGTTGCAGAGGAAGAGGCCAGAGAACATAGGTCGTCCCTAAATTCATGCCCCATTATCTTATCTAATCCCTTCAACCAGGCGCCACCCGTTTTTGTCACCATTAAAACGATCAGATTATTTCAGTGGATTAATTCACTGATGAAGTTAGAGCCCTCCTGATCAAGTCTTTTGTGGAAATCCCCACAGAGACTCAGGAGAATGTTTTACTAACAGCCTAGGTATTTCTCAGTCCAAGATTAGCGATTACAGTAGGATTTAACCATATTAAAGCAGTCTTCAGTCTTTCAATTTAACATTTTGGGGAGCTAGTCAAAACATACAGCCCAACTTCTATAAAGATAAGATCCTTTGTCTAAATATTACAGAAAAGAGTAGGTATGAGACCACCAGCATTCCCGCCAAGCTGACAGCTTTGGTGTCTGGTGAGAAGCTGTTGAAGTAGATTTAATGGAGTGATGAGAAAAGTTGATTGCAAGTACTTGGTGTGATCTACATTTTGTATTTTCATTTTAGGAAATGGTTTTCTATGGCAAGCTTTG